ACAATACAAATTAATATTTTGGTGGATTCCGGGAGGGAGAGGAGTAAATTGGTGTGCTCATGTGACCATCCTGGAACCTGGCAGACAAGCGTATTTCTGAAGTAGTCATGAAGGACTGCTCTGCCATGATGCGCTCCCTGATTATCTCATGCTGTATTTTATGCCCAAGAATCCCACACGCATGTGTCCAGACCTCCCTCCCAAGCCCAGACTCCCATCGCTGTCTCCACTTGCATGTCCAGTACCCATCTCAAATGCAACAATTCAGAACTAAAGTCCTGATCTTCTCCCCCAAACTGGTTCCACTCACTATCTGTTTTCCGCTGCTAGAATGACAGCTCCCTGAGGACAGAGTTTTGATCTGTTTTGTTCACCGATGGACCCAAGTGCCTAGCACGTGCCTGGCTCAGTTGTAGGCACTAAACAAACACTTGTCGAATGAATGAGTGAATGGCAGTGGGGAGAGCCAAGGTTCTCCCACACTGCCTTGCTCCACTGGTGCAGCTCTTTGAAGGTAACACCTGGAGGGGTCCATCTGGTTAATAAGTTAAGAGAGCAGAATCTCCTTAAGGGTAAGAGTCACAGGGAGGTGGCTTCCAGAGTGCAAGAAGGGAGACAAGAAACATGAGGATTTCCCACCCCAGCCGTCACCAGACCAACTGGTCTCAAGGGTTCTCTCCAGCTCTAACCTTCTGTGGCCTCACAGCATGCTGAGCTCCCTGGCCCTGGAGGTGTTCCAGCATAGGCTGGATGATGTCTCAATAAGGATAACAAGGGGGGACTCAAGCTTCAGAAAAGTACCAAGAGTGGATGACCTTCAAGTTCTCCTCTAATAATAAGATTTGATAATTAGGTGACTAGCCTCCCGCTTGTCTCTCCCATCTCCCAAAGCCAGAGTCACAACCCTGGAATCCATGGCCTGCTGTGTGCTCTTGAGCCCTGTCCTGACCCTCACTACTACGCTATTACTCCATGGTCAAGGCCAAAGAAGCTGGTTTCCATTCCCTACAGAATTTATTCTATGTTTGACGAGCAATATGGAGTGTCTTTGACTGAGAGAGGACATACTGGACAGATGGAGGGGAGGCTAGAGAGGGACATCTGCCTCTCAGTCTTGCTTTTCCATCTCTTCTCCCAATTCTCACCCCTCCTCACTGACATGGCCACATGGCCAGCTCTGGAGCAGACCTATCCATCAGGATGCACTGTGGCTCTCCACGTGGAGCCACAGGTGGACATGTGGGTTCAGAGGTGTGGAGCAAGCCTGGGAGAGATCTGGACAAGAACAGTGATGATCAGGTGGGAAGTGAAGCTGGGGGCTGGGGTGTGGAGGAACTGCCCCGAGGGTCCCATCAGCCTGAATACTCTCATTTTGTCTCTTTTCCTCCTAGTTCTGGGTCCTTCAGCTTCCTGGTGCCAGGAAACCTAGCGCTGCAGGATATGCTGCCCCTTGCCCAAAGAATTGGTATTTATTCCAAGCCCTCTTGAGAGCAAACGGCATGCTCTTTGGTCAAGAAGAGATCTGGAAGAATGCATCTAGGGAATTCACTCCTTTGCTCTTATTTCTCTGGAAAATGGCCAGATAATACCCAAATCACAAAGGTCAATTCCTGAAATGCTAAACACCCATATTCCCACACCTCCCGCCTAATTATCCCATTCCCCTCGTGTTAAAAAGGGTACCAAGTGATTTTCCACCATTTTTCTTCTGGAGTGTCTTTTTGCCAGTTCAGCAGCTGCTTCACTGTAATGATAGGATTGGGACCAATAAAGCAAACAGAAACCAAGGCGAACTCTGTAATGAGCACATACACCTCACCATCTGCTTCTGAGGACACCTGCTCGGTGTGTACACAAACCTCCTCTCCTTCGATATGTAATCCAGTCAGCAGCTGTTATTATTTTTCCCGTTTACAGATGAGGGAACCAGAGCGTGGAGAGGCTAGATGGTGAGTGATGGACCCTTACAGGAGTCAGGCCTTCTGACTCCAAGGTTCATGCGCTCCTCTGCTTCTGCACAAATGCCTCTGTCCAAATGGGACTAGCGGCCCGTGAAGCCCATCCAGGCCATTTGGTGAAGTGGTTAAGAGCATGGACCTGGGCGCAGGGCAGTTCAAGCTCCAACTTACTAATCTGTGACTTTGGGTAAATTGCTGCATGTCTGTAAACGTCAGTTTCCTCATCTGTAAAAGGGACAGCAATGGTTACTCATTGTGTAGGTTTGTTGTGAGAATTAAACGATGTATGCAGAATGCCTAGCATGATGCCTGACAAATTAATTCTTCAACAAATAGTGACTATTCTTATGAGCTAGGTCTCTGTTGAGTGGGCAGAACCGATCAGAGGGGCAGGAGGAGGGGAAGACAACAAGGTTGGCTAGTGGAAGTAGAAGGACTTAAATCAGGAGACGTTGTGCAGGTCGGACAGATGTCAAAAAGAAAGATGGACTTGAAGAGGGCTAGAGGCGAGAACAGAAAGAGAAAACAGGTGCACCGTTGATATGATTGACATTCTTTTAACCACAAAGTGAGGGAGGCCAGGCAGGCACCTCTCCTCCTTGAGGAGACCCCCAAATAATGCCCCTCTTTCCTGTCAGAGTTCTGAGCCGATTGAGAAACAGACCAAAAGATTTAATGGTGCCAATAGACCACCTTTGTGACTGTGACGGTGAATTTTCTGTGTCACCTTGACTGGGCCATGGGGAGCCCAGACATCTGGACAAACATTCTGGGTGTGTCAGTGCAGGTGTTTCTGGATGAGATCAGCATTTGAATTGGTAGTCTGAGTAAAGCGGATTTTTCTGCCTAATGTGGGTGGGCCTCATCCAATGGGTCAAAGGCCTGATAGAACAACAAAGGTTGACCCTCCTCCAAGTAAGGGGCAATTTCTCCTGCCTGACTAGCTTCAAGCTGGATAATCATTTTCCTTCCCACCCTGGACTCAAACTGAAATATTGGCTCTTTCTGGGTCTCAAACCTGCTGGCATTTGGACTAGAGCTATGGCATCAGCTCTTCTGTGTCTCCAGTTTGCCAAATGCAAATCTTGGGACTTGTCATAATCACATGAGCCAATTCCTTATAATAAATCAATCTCTCTTCTCTCTCTACATATATATTCTATTGATTCTGTTTCTCTTGGGGAACCCTAATGCAATGATTAATAAAACTGAGTTGTGAGAGCCAAATGGACTCGCTAACTGCCTACTCTCCAGGGTGACCTTGAGACAGCCCACCTGAGGGAAAATTTCGGTCTTCAGAGAAGATACGCTTCTCTAGATTGCAGGCTTATGCTGGTCCTGGGTAGAGAGGAAGGAGAAAGACAGCAAATCCTCACGCTTAGGACTTGGATAGAGTAGATTCACCAGTGAAGACGAGTGAACCAATGGCCCTCACCCACTAACTGAGGAAGAGTAAGGGGTGTTTAGAGAAAATGCTAATGTTCTGTAGCCTTTGTTCAGACCATTGTGCTCATCCATTAAGCCTGTGGTTGATCAGGGGTGAGGTCAGCAGAAAGAATATCTAGACTGACCACCTATGCAGGGCTGCTCCTCCAAATCAGATATTCCGTTTCTGTGTAGCCTCCTGGGAACGCTGCTGGGCAGGTGGGGTTTTGTCCCTAGGGAGCTCTGAAATGAGTCAGAGCAGTGAGCAAGTTGGAGTCCACTCCAGGTCACCGGCACCTGACGCTGAGCGCTTCCTCTCTGTTCTATTACCCATCCTGAGTTATTTCATCCATATGTTCCAGCCATTTATCAGAGGCTCTGCAATGAGATCCGATGACATCATCGAGCCCTCCAATCATAACATGCCAGCAGATAGATACTCTGATGATGAAAACAAACTCCATTCCATTAGGGAATCCTCAGGGAAGAAGACAGTTCAAAGGTTAAATTCCCAAGGAAATTAAAGCAAAATATTTTAAATTAAAAAGCCCAGCAGTCGTCCTCGAATGAAGTCTTATCTGGCTACATCCTTCGGGGGCGTCCCAGTGCCTGAGCCAGGCAGGGCTCATTCCACACTGGCAGTGGCAGATGGTGGCCCCCAGGACAGAGGGAAGTTCTATCGGCAACTTGGGGCGCTATCAATTCAACATTGAGCATCTGAGGGGCTCCATCCTCCCCAACCCAATGTTTTAATTACAGAATTTTCAAATTTCGGAAAACTCGAAAGAGAACAATGTAATGAACACTGGTGTGCCCTTCCTTGCATTCACCAATTGTCAATTTTCTTTGGGTTACGTTTGTACTCTTTCTCTCTCTCTCTCTCCACACACACACATTTTAAAGATTTTTACTGAATCATTTGAAAGTATTTCAAATATTTTCAAAAATATTTCTAAAGTAATGTCAGATTATCGATTCAATAGTATCAGTAATACATAGTCCATATTCAACTTTCTGTAATTATCTCCAGAATTTTTCCGATGTTTTTTCCTCTGGATCCAGAATCCAATCAAGGTTCCTCTGAGGTTGTTGCGTGTCTTCAGCTTCCCTTAGTCTCGCTGCCCTTTTGTTTTGTCTTTTGTGACTTCCGCAGTTTCGAGGAGTCTCTCTCCGAATGGCCCACGTTCTGAATTTGTTCATCTTCTCCCATAGGTTCTGGGTGAGCTTCTTTGACAAGAGCACTCTAAGGGGGAGCCTGGACTCGCCCCTGCTCCCATCAGAGGGCACATAGGGTCAGTGGCGCCCACTACGGGTGATGCCATGTCTGATCACATCATTAGGACTGGCCCTGCCAGCTCTCTCCATTGTAAAGGTACATCCCCCCTTTTGTGTTTTTTTTTTTTTTTTTTTTTTTGGAGGAAGATTGCCCTCAGCTAACTACTGCCAGTCCTCCTCTTTTTGCTGAGGAAGCCTGGCTCTGAGCTAACATCCATGCCCATCTTCCTCTAGTTTATACGTGGGACGCCTACCACAGCATGGCTGCCAAGCAGTGCCATGTCCGCACCCGGGATCCGAACCAGTGAACCCCGGGCCGCCGAGAAGTGGAACGTGCGAACTTAAGCGCTGCGCCACCGGGCCGGCCCCAGGTACATCCCCCCTTTTGATCGACAAGTACTGAGAGTGGTGATGCATTGAGATCCTGTGGATCGCCTGTTGCCCAGCAACCTCTCATCCAGTAATTTTAACATCCACTGGTGATCCCTGCCTGAAGCAATTGTTACCAGGGGATTGCAAAGTGATTTCCTAAGGTCAACATTCCTTCAACACTTACTATCTGTTTTCTTCTGTAAAGAAGAGCTTTTGCCTACCCTTTTTTTCTTTTGAGAATAGTTATCTCATGAATTCTTTTCAAATTCAATGTTATAGCTTGTTACTACCAACATTCTTTTTCATGCTCACGTTATCCCAAGGTTAGCTAGTGGATGATTTGTCTTACAATTTGCCACATACTGAATGTTTGTGTCTCCTCCAAATTCATATGTTGAAAACTAATCCCCCACGTGGTGGTAGTAGGAGATGGGGCCTTTGGGAGGTGATGAGGTCATGAGCACAGGGCCCTCACAGAGGGGATTAGTGCTCTTATAAAAGAGGCCCCAGGGAGCTCCCTTGCCCCTTCTGCCATGTGAGCGCATGTCTATAAACCAGGAAGCAGGCCCTCACCAGACACTGACTCTGCCGGCAACTTGCCTGTGGAAATCCCAGCTTTCACAGCTGTAGGTAAGCAATTTCTGCTGTTTGTAAGCCACACAGACTAGGATGTTTTTCTTACAGCAGCCCGGGCAGACTGAGACACTATTTCAAACAATCTAGAGAGTAACTAGGGCTCCCCAGACTATGCAGCACTGGCCCTAGACTCACCAACTATAGAAAAGTAACGGTCTCAAGCTCCTGAGTAGTTATCCCAATAAAATCGTGGCCCCAGGGCCCGGCATTTAGCGTTGCCAAAGAGACTGTGTCTGAATCATGGAGGGGAGATGGAAAACATCTCTTTAATGTTGGTCTTGCCAGAATGACCACAATCTTTATATCTGTCTGGAGTCTACAATTGTAACTCAAGTGGAAGAGGTCTTTCCAGAAGAGGTTTGCTTTGCCAGGATGCAAAGGGAGGGGGAAGGAGGAGACATCCACCTGGGAGGAGCCTTCCTCTCCCATTGAGGAATTTTAACATTTCCTATCTTGAGCCTGGTGCTTCTGAGTTCCCTGAGCCACACAGAGGCTGAGCTTTACTGGGTCATGTGGCCTCCATAATAGAGTGGGACAGAGTTCTTCCTCTGGTCCTGGGCTACTCTTGCCATTGGCATCTCTTGATTTGCAATTAGGCCTAAAGTCCTGCCTCCCAGGGCCTGCTTGCCCCCGCTCCACCCTTGGTTAGCTGCAGTTCTGTGGTGGAGACAAGGTCTCTCCCTCGTACTCTGCAAGGCAGCACAGGGTGCGGTTCAGGCTCCTGTCTCTGGTGTCTGGTTTCCTTTTTGAAAGGCTCAGCTGAGGCTGGGGCAGCAGGTGCAGCACTGCCTATCTTGGCAAGAAGCTAACACCTAATAGTTTGAAAAGCTTTAGGACACGCAAGAAGTCAGCTGCCTTAGATTAAAAGCAGAAAACATTGCCCTGGCTCCCAATATGTCAAAGGCCTTTCTTGAAAAAGTTCTTTTTTATGGTTGAATCTTTGTCGCAGCCACAGCTGTTCAGGAAACCCACATCTGTTGAAGCAAAAGTGGGTATTTTTCAAGGCCCTGGCTTTGCTGAGGCTCTCACCACGCCCTCCCACTTGCTGAGGCCACATGCTGGGCATCTGACCGTTAGGTCCCACATGGCAACCATTTGGCTGAAACTCTGTGTGGCTTGAGGCCTATGGAACCTGCTGTCTTAGCTCTGGTTCCCTAGAAAATAGCCTGAAGAAAAGCTCACGGACTAACCCATTATGAGTGAGTCCAATCCCAGGGAAGCAGGAGTGAGAGGGGATGGGGAGGCTGGGGGAGAAGGAGGACACATGTGAGAGTGTGTGTACCTGACTTGGCCACAGCTTACAATAGGTTAATGGCTTGTTCTCTCAGGATGTCCTCCGAGAGGTCACATAAAGCCTTTGTATCTCTGAGTAGTCCATTGAGGAAGGGTTTAGAGTGGAGAAAAGGAGCAAAATTTATTCACTGATTGCAATATCCCATTGCTAAAGTCAACTTCTGTGCACGTCTGCACTTCAGCCCAAGAGAGGAGCCCCAGGGTGGAGCTGGAAGGTGCATGGTGTATGTGAGGGAGGTGCTGTCAGGTCATGCCTCCATGGGAGGAACTGGGACCCTTGCTTGGTAGAGGAAGCTGTCTGAATTCATAACCACAGGAACAGCGCAAGCCACATCTAGGGCCGCTCCAGCCTAAAGAGTCCAGTGCACCTGCTCACCACCGCTTAGTGGTCAGTGTGTGCAGCCCCAGCCCCAAAGCCCTTGGTCAAAGCCGGTCCAAGCTCTAGAAACTTGCCAAAAAACACTGCAGCCTAAGGCTTGGAGCTCCTCCCCCTAGTTCAGCATCCAAAAGCCCACTTCATTCCAAACAGATTGATGGCTCTTAGTCAATTGCCATGAAGAACCACAGTAAAACCCACATGGACTGTGCGGGGTAAGCACCTCCAAAGCGTGAAGGCACCTGCCCTGGCTGGAGCAGAAGCCTCCATCTCTCGCTGTGCATTTTGCTCCCCTGACTCCCCTATTTTTATTTCTTAAGGTTTGAAGCTTCATGAGCCAAATATTGAGGTTGGGGTTATGGCTGTGAAACCATAAGCAGCCCTCTGAGATGCATGTCCTTTTCAAACTTAGAGCAGAGGAGAACACAAGCTCCTGTGGGCTGCTGTTGGCCTTGAGGACGGGAGACCGAGAGGCAGGGCCGTGCAGGCCCGTGTTCACCTTCTAAGCCCACTAGAGACATAAGTAACTGTTCCTCCTCTGGGGAATGAGTGAGGGCAGGAGTGTTACACTCACGGAACCCCTTCCCCATGGGAGGAAACAACAGGAGTGGAGAAGAAGACATTCCTCTATAATGTTCCCAAACTCCAGGGACCTTGTGTCAAGATCTCTTAAAAGCTTTTTCACTGGGCTTTGATCTGGGGTCCCCTCCAGGAGAGCCAGTGAGTTCCTGATGCCCAAGAAATCTCCTTGAGTGGTGAGGGACTGTCTTCCCTCCTCTAAGCAATTATCTAGGGGTCCTGTCTTCCCCTGGCTGGAGTTCAGATGGGAGGTAAAATGCCCAGCGCCCCTCACTGGATCACCATCTCCTTCCCTATCATCATCCTTAGTGAACTCTAGACATCAGCTCATAAAGGATATATGAGGAGCCAGGGAAGTGCTCAAGAGTGGTGTGGCCACTTCTTAGTTGATCCTGTGGGGATGTGTCTAGAAACTGCTCTTCAGAACACGTGGGTAACTATCAACTGTTGAGCTCAGCATTGGGGCTTTAAGTGTTACTCTGAGAAAACAGGAAACGTCCCATTCCACACCACTGCCCATTCATTGTTTCACTAGGAATTGAGCATCTGTGATTTACCAGACCCTGTGATGTGCACTGGGGTATGTGAGGATGCGGGGAGGATTCTAAACTAGAGCAAGTCATAACACTCGATACTGGAGAGGCTTTAAATAGTCCAGGAAGGGAAGCAGACACACACACACACACATGCACATGCACACAAACACACACACTCCTGCAAGGACTACAAGAAATGTCGATTCAAAAGGCTATGGAAACCCAGAAGGAAAAGTGAGGCTTCATTTGACATTTGAACTTGGTCTTGAAGGATGAGTGAGTTCGACAGAGAGGAAAAAAGGGAAAAGTTAGTAGGAAAAGGCATAGCATGTGCAAAGTCACGGCTGCTTGAAAGGAAGTGGTACAGACAGGAAATCGAGAGGTTTGTGTGGCAGCAGCACAGGGTGTATGTCCTTGTTGGTTCATGTTTCCAGACTTTATGGACGCTTGGTATATACCAGGCACTGAGCTAGTTCTTGTTGATTCTATCGTTATCCCTATTTTATAGATGAAAAAGATGGAGTTTCCAAAAGGTGAAGTGACTTACTCAATGCTGTGTAACGAGAAAGGGAAAGAGCAATATTCAAACCGGGCTCCAATGCCTCCACTCTCAGAGAGATGAGGCTCTCAGAGAAATCAGTAATTAGAAAGGCTCTGAGGAAGCCTGTATGTTTTGGATGCTGCTACCATGGGCTTGCCCAGGGATAGTTGTGAGCTATGGTGTGCCTCCTAAAGTCAGCCTTTGGGATCCAAGATGGCAGCTTCTTCTCCACAGGCACCACCTCCTGTTGGCAGAGTGGTCTCTCTGAGTGGCCAACTTGTGTTACTCCATCCTCTTGGGTCTCATCACAATAGGTATTGGTTAGGTTGGCCATACCCTGACTTTCCAGGATGATTAAGCTAAGATCATCTGAAGACTTGGGCAGATTCAGTGGTCATAGTGATCACTCAGGCAACCAAGTAACAGTGGTACAAGCATGTAAGTTAAAAAATAATAAGCATCAATATTTGATGCAAGAAAAGGTCCTATGTGGCTAAGGCTGTGGGAGGTCCTGGGAATTGCCTTAAGATATCCCAAGAGTGGTGGCAACGTGAAATTGACACAATCCATCTCAGTGACATGAAGCAGTGACTGTGCTCTCAGCAGTAACCAGACTCAACTCCATTTTTATACCCTGTAGTCATTTCATTAAACACAGGAATACAGCCTAGCTCTTACCTGGAGAGGTCAGAGGTAGGCCTTCTTCCTGCAAAGGAAAGCAGAGGGGCATTGGATCCGGGAGAAGGAAGACTTCACAAGGAGCACAGCTTGTAGGAGGCTCGCCCAGAACCTGCCAGGAGTCGCTTCACTCAGGTGTGAACCCTTCTTCTCTACATCCAAGGGAGGAGGCAGATTGGGCAAAAACTATGGCCCCTGACTTCCAGAGGGGTAGAGTTATAATGCGAAAGGGGAACCCACAATCCATAATCCTTCAACCTGGAGTTTGTAAAGAACAATGGTCAGTAGCTACAGGTGGGAAAGCAGACTTGATCAGCTATGAAAATAATGGACATTTAAGAAATCAGTAAGTTATCAAATCCCATTTGGTTCCTGTTTTCACTCCTGTTTCTCAGAGTCTTTCTTCTCCTCTTCGCGTTCTTTGGGGATGATCTTGTAAGTGGAGAGAGGTAAGTACACTGCAGCTTATGGTGTTGAATAAACTACATCTAATCAAGTCATCTTCTGCTCAATAGGGTTGTTTTGGAAACTTTGCGTTTGGTAAAGACAAATTCTGGGGGACCTAGAGGGAAAGTGGGGACTGTGGGACAGTGGTGGGAGGAGCTGTTGAGAGCTTGGGGGTGGTTACAAAGGCAGCAGGAGCCTGAGGGAATGGAGATGGGAAGGGCATAGACTCAAGCACAGGTTAGCCAGGGAGTTACCCACCTGCTTTTCTTGGGAGCCAGTAATAAAACAGCAGTCCCGCAGCAGCAAGGCCCAACACGCTGAGCAGTCCGCCGGTGACACCTGTGGCGACAGGGCCACTTGTGCTCCCTGTCAGCCATGAAGGTGAAAACCGGTGCATGAGCCAGAGGGAGAGGCTTGTGGTCTTGGACTCCTGCTTCCCCTGGGTCAGAACGGATGCCTGGGCATGGGGAGAGAGGATAAACCTAGGGGACGAGGGTTCCTGAGGCTAAGCAGGTGTTGGTGTGGCACAGGAAATGGCTCTTCTCTTTGTGAGGAAGCTCATCTCTGCTGATGAGGCAACGGGTGAAGGTCAGGATGGACAGCACCAGCAAAGGGCATTAAATTCAGTGATCCTCCTTGGCCCCTCTCTCCTGCCCCAGTACTATCACTCCAGAAATACTGCAGAAAACAACAATTTAAAGAACTGCCAGCTTTGTGTACCTGTGCCTGAGAAGCACTGTCCTGGTCAAGCATCAGGACGGTTATCAGAGAATCTTTGGAGGAAATATTTTCTCCACATCTATGGCACAGGCGTAGGAAACTTACTTGTGATAGAAAGTGTCACTGTGTTACTGCGCTGGATACCCAGGCCATTGTTGGCCTCACAGGAGTAGTTCCCAGAATGTTCTTCAGTCAGAGAGGTTGAAGGAAGATCCTCCTCCAGTGAGGCTTGAGTTGCTCTCCAAGTTGACATCATTGCGATAAAACCGGTACTGGATTGGGGGAGAGCCTCTCTGGGCCTCACAGTGAAGCTCCACCACGTCGCCCACCACAGCCTGGGCCCCGGGAGCCCTGAGGGTGAGGACAGGGCGAGACACTGGAACTGAGGGAGACAAAAAGTCAATGGAAGTTGCTACTTCCAATCTATTCATAAGTGAACAAACATCTCAAACAAATGGCAAAAGTCAGGTCCCAATTTGGAAAATAGACTGAAACGCATATGACAGCCAAAGCTAGTAACTTTAATCTAAAAATAGCTGTCAGTGCACAAGAACAGCCAACAGAAAAGTGTAGAAAGGGTGAGAACCACGAAAAACTTCAAATAGCCAAGAAAGGTATAAAAAGATTATCATCTTCCTTACTAACTGAATATACACAAATGAAAACACCCATTGGATTGACAAAGCTCACCGGGACAGATAACGCTGAGGAGGTTGTAGAGAAACAGGTGCCTTCATGTGCTGTCCATGGGAATGCAAATTTGAGACCATTCCTTGAATGGCAATTTGGTGATATCTACCAAATTTAAAATGCACGTAAACTGTGACCCAGCAAATCTACCTCAAAGACTCTTTCCTGTAGGGACACTGACAGAAGATATGCAAAGATGGTTGTACAAGGATTTCTATTGTAGGATTATTATAAAAGGTAAAAATGAGAGACAACCTAGTTGTCTGGCTAATAAAATATGAAGCATATCTGGGGTGTATTTTGTAAACTAAAGTCGAGATGTATTTTTAATTGAAAAATGCAAGTTGTGCAACTATATGTGTAATATGATTCTACTTTTGTGAAAAATCTTATGCCTTTATGTTTATAATATATTTGATTATTTCTAGAAAAATATACATGGAGCTATCAACAGTGGTGAAGTCTTGGAAGTATGTGGATGTGTCCACACAAGGAGAAAGAGGTATGTATTTTTCATATTGTCCCTTCTGTACCATGTGATTTTTTTATCCTGAAGATTTATGTATTCTTTCACAATAACAAATTATTAAAAACTCAAGAGTTTGTTAAAATGTGGCCACAAAAGATGAAGAAACCTCATACAGTCAACGTATGTTAAGAGTTGGATAAGCCCATGTTTCAACCTGACTTTGTCATTGCCAGCTGGGTCTGTAAGCAAGTTACTTCACCTCTCTAAGCTTCCATTAACTCTCCTGCAAACCCTCACTGGTTGATACTTAAGCTTAAATGAGAAGCTGCGCATCAGGTACTAAACACAGGACATGGCACACGCCAGGGCTCAGTTAGTGTTGATGATAATGAAGATGATGATGATGGTGATGGTGGTGGGTACGATGATAACAAGAAATATTCCTTTATCTTGCAGTTCTCCATGACCCGTTTTCAACTTCTAGGACTCAGACAAAATTTAATTAGGCTGGCAAGAAGTCCCTTTAGGTGTTGATAGCAGCCTCAGAAATAATGGTGCATTTGTACCAGGCAATCATATAAGGAAAGGAGTGGGGATGAGCAAAAAAGCATGAATAGAGTGTGGGAGGTATGATGTGTTGGTCCACTGTGTTGTGAAGAGAGAGGGAGCAGCTCTTGGTCAGTGGTGCATGGTCGTGTGGTGGATGTAAACCATGTGGCAAGAATCCCCATGAATCACAGAGGAAAACTGGCTGAGGTGGATGCTGCCTGTCAGTGGGGGCAGAAGAATGACCTGGTTGAATGGAAAAAATCAAATCTGAAATCAAGTTGCCTCCTGGATGCCAAAGAGATGCCTGCACTGGCCACCTTGATGAGATGCTGAATCCTGAGCTGGCATCCCCAAACCCAAGCTTCTCCTGGTGGCTGTCGCTATTTTTTATTATATTCAGGCACTCAGCCAAAGCAGACTAAGAGCATCCATCTGCATTTGGCTTTAGCTATCTCCGGGGGCATTTACATGCCGTTTCACGGTATCCTGCTTTCCGGGATGTACCCCAGGAGCAGGGACCCCCAGCTATTCCTGCTCATGTCTCCTTCCAGGGACCTTTGAGTCTGAAATACTCCATATTCCCTGTGCAGCAAACTCATAGGATTCTAGGGCTTTGAGGATGGCCATAATGTCCGCCACATCTGATTTTCCCACTTTATAGGTGAGGAAATTGAGGTCAGTCTAGGGAAATATTCTTGGCCGGGGACATCCAGCTGGCTATCTTCAGAACATTTATCTCAAGCCTTTAGCATGCTTTTGCTATACCTCACATCTCCCTATACAGGAGTTTGGAGGTTGGGCCTGTAGGGGGTCATCACAAAACAGACTCAGAGCTCATAAGAAGCAGTTTTCCTTGGCGATTACACTTACAGGCAGGGGATCAAAGGACAGCTTAGAGAAGGAAGGAATTTGATTGATGGCTGGCCATTTCCACTCCACGTCCTCCAGCTCTCACCTTCTCTGCGCTGGTCCCCTCTGTACCCATTGCTTTAAGAATCACTTTGAAAACTAACTTGGACTGGTTGTGTCTCCCGAAAGGCCGTGCACACAGCTAACGTCAACAGAGAATTTTTGACATGGAAATGTGAGGCCTGTTTATACCCCTGGTAATGAAAGAAACTCAAGAGTAGAGACTTGTGGGGAGTCAATGAGAGAAAAACCAGGACAAGGAATGGCCAAACATTTTTTGGAACAGGGACAGCCGTACGCAGAATTCTTTAGTTTCCCTTTTGTATCATAACTGCAGATAGGAATGCAGTGTATGTTCTAGGAAAGTCTTCTTTGCATTTTTAGTGAGGAGTTTTCAAGACATTCAGGAGGACTGCTTGAACTGTGCTTCTGGGGAGGTCTGGGTTTCTGAAACCAAAACCACAGGAAAGGTCCTAGACTTCCAAATGGAGGTTCCGTGGGCAGGAGGTCTGCTGGGGTACTTCATAGCAGCAGGTGGGAGAGCTGGAGCCGCATTTCAGCTGTTTGGGAGAGAAGGCAGTCAGTCCCTGTTTGTGCTGCTGGTGGGCAGGACCAACTCACCTAAGACATTGAGTGTCACCACCTCACTGCGCTGGGGCCCCAGGTCATTGTTGGCCTCGCAGGAGTAGTTTCCAGAATGTTCTGCACTCAGGGAGATGTTGAAGAATGCTCCTCCTCCAGAGGGGGCCATGCTGCTCCCCAGGGTGACATCCTCATGATAAAACTGGTACCAGATTGGGGGAGAGCCTCTCCGGGCCTCACAGTGAAGCTCCACCACGTCCCCCACCACAGTCTGAGCCCTGGGAGCCCTGAGGGTGAGGACAGGGCGAGACAGTGGAAGTGAGGGAGAAAAAATAGTTAACTATCACTTCCTACTGTTTACGCTCTTCCGTAGGAGAGACATTTCAAACAGGGAACTGCTTTTCTCAGTTTTTAATGACCTTGTGGCATCACTCAGAACTCAGCTATAATTTCGTCAGACTGGAAGAAACAGCAACACTTGTGTAGTGCTCTGTGGAGTCTGCAGTGCCCGGACACACAATCTCAAGTGTGTTTGGGGGATCTGAAGAGAAAGATGAAATTGAACCCTGGGGTCTGAGAAGTCAAGAGACAACTGGGAAAAAGGAGATCAGCTCGTGGAAAATAAGGAACTGGAGAGACCTGTTGCTGACAAAGCCAAGGATGTAACTGAGCCTGGGCAGCATCAGAAAGGAGGCCCACAAGAGAATGAATATTGATTACTTCATTTGCTCATTGTTATATTCATTCATTCATAAAAATAATTGAGCAATTAATACTGGCACTATTTTCTGGGGAATCAATAGTGGGAAAGACACAGTCCCTGCTCTCATGAAGCCTAGCATCTAGAGGAGATGATAGACAGCAATGAAATTAAAAAATGTAGATGTAAAACATTGATAATTGATACAAAATAAAAAATAGGGTGCTATGAAATGTATAATTCAGGGGTCAAATGTGTTAACGGTTAGTCAGGGAACACTTCCTCATTAAGTGACATTTGAAACTAACTAGGTGAAGAGGGATACGAAGAATGCACCAGGAAGGCAAACAGTATGTGCAAAGGCCCTGAGTTTGGAAGAAGGTTGGAACTTTTGAGTTATTCAAACAAGGTGACAACAACGCTAAGAGAAGTGTCTGAAGACTGCTGTGAAATAGAAGGCTGGAGAGCGAGACAAGGCTTCAGGAGCCACGATAAGGGTTTTGATCTTTCTTCACAGAAGAATAGGAAGTCTATAAGTGTCTCTCTACAGGGGCATGAAATGATCAAATCTGTCTTTTTAAGAGATCATTCAGACATCAGTTTGCAAAATGGATTGCAGTGGGACAGAAGTGGAGTGGAGAGGTAGTTAGAAGTGCAGTGGAGAAGTAGCATTGCAGTATAATTTGAGTGATGGTAGCCTTGACTAGGAGAGTGGTAGTGGAGATGGAAGGCAACGATCCAAGAAATATTCTGGAAGTAAAATCCACAGAACTTAATGATTAACTGGCTATGAAGAGCAAGGGAGAGAAATGCCAAGGAAGACTGCTGGGCTTTGCCTTGTATATCTGGGTAAAAGCTATCTGGCTGTTATCTGGCTGTATCTTGACAGAGGTAGGGACATGTGGAGAGGAACAGGTCTGGGGGGAACAAGACGAGTTCAGTTTTGGAGATATCCAGGTTCATGAGCTTGTAGGCTATTTGAGCGGAGCCATGGTGTGTGCAGGTGTTCAGGTGGGAGGTCTCCTTTGGACATAGAAGCGTAGGACTCATTTATAGATGACATCCTCAGGATCATCCAGAGAAAGAATACAGATAAGAGAAGAGGGTGCATGCAGGACAAAGCTTGGGAAAAGACCTACACTTAGTTTGTCTATAAAAGGAGGAGCCAGTAAAGGAGACTGATAAGGAGGGCAGAGAGACGAGAGCTAGGAGAGGGTGGAGTTATTGAAGAAATGGAAAGGAAAGTCAAGAGACAAGAAAAGATGGACAATGTGGGCTATTTCTGAGAGTTCAAGTAAGATGAGGTTTGGAAAACGGCCATTGGATTTTAAGTTCTGGAGGTCATTGGTGACCCTTGTGAGAACCATTTTGGTAGATAGGTCAGAAGAAACCAATGAATTAGAATGCAGGGGGTAACAAGGAAAAGGAAACAATCTGTGTGGCTCACCCTGTTTAGAAATTTAGCCATGATAGAGCAGTGGCTGGAGGCATAAGTAGGATCGAGTTTGGGTTTTTCTTAGCCGTGGGAGAGACATAGCATATTAAATGTCAATGTGAAAGATCCTATACTGGGGAACATACGATAGAAAGGGATAATTGGTTGTGCAAAGTGTCTGAGAATGCAAGAAGGATCTAATCTAGAGATCAGGTGGAGATTTTGATTTTTCATAGGCAACAGAGTCCTCTCTTCTATACCTTAGGAAGAGGAGGGATGAGTCACTGGATGGATACAGAGACAAACACCCAATATGGTGGTGAGAGTGGAGGGTGTCATTGCCTCAGAGGGAGTAGAGGTGTTAATGAACTGAGGGTTCTGGGGATATAGGAGAAGAATAGTGATTGGAAGAGTTGAAGAAGCGAGTAGAAGGATAGGAGGTTGTGGTCAGACAATTGGAGTGCTGTGTGAATGTGGGAGTGGGTGGTTGATGTGGAGAGAATGACAAGCCATGGTGTTGAGTGGATCATCCATGTGGACATTAGAGTCATGGAATGATGGCAGAATGTAGGGTATAGACCTCCTAGACTATGAGCTTGGACATGCGAGGACATGACCTGGAGGTCAGCCTATGACAGGGCCAGGTGGGAGAGAGTGCTCTAGCTGAGTGTATTAGGGACATATAAAAAGTCAGGAGAATGATGTTGGGAAGTCTTTTAGCAAGGGTTCTGGGTCAGGTGCTGAGCTGCTGTGGGACAGGGGCAGGAGAAGCTAGAGAGAAACTCATGAGCCACTGAGAGAATGAGTTGGCCTTTGGATTGATTGACAGACCGTGGAAGCCCCAACTAAATTTCTTCTGAGGTCAGACATGCTGAACTTCTTAATTTCCTTCCCTGCTGATTGTGAGTTGACCAGGACGTGATTTCTGTTTTGAAAGCGTTTACTCCTACGTTAGGTGAGTTTGGTCACGATGGCTGCACACTTGCTACCAGGAAAGGCATAGCAAGCAAAGGGAAGGTGCAAGTTCCTGGAAATGTAGAATCCAGAACTCTCAAATGGAGGCCTACTATGATGTCACACAGCAAATGGCCCTGTGGGACCTCCAATCTTTGCTATTGGGGAAAAGGGGAGATGGTCTTTCCCCGGTTGTACTATAGTTTGTAGGGTCAACTTACCTGTGACTCTGAGTGACACTGCATCACTGCGCCGGACACCCAGACCATTGTTGGCCTCACAGGAGTAGTTCCCAGAATGTTCTTCAGTCAGAGAGAGATTGAAGGAAGATCCTCCTCCAGAGAGGCTTGAGTTGCTCTCCAAGGTGACATCATTGCGATAAAACCAGCACTGGATCGGGGGAGAACCTCTCTGGGCCTCACAGTGAAGCTCCACCACGTCGCCCACCACAGCCTGGGCCCCAGGAGCCCTGAGGGTGAGGACAGGGCAAGACACTGGAACTGATAGCAAAAATGAGGTAATTGACACCAGTATTTTTTCCTATTTTTTTAATTTTTATTTTCCAGAGATTAATTCTGTTGAGTATTTAGTGACACATTCTAGATCTGTTCTCCGTTTAAGAACACTCACTCATATCAACACACAAATATGAACATTAAAGCACGCACACACACACACAAGTGCATGGTTTCACAATATGCATACTGGTTTACAACCTGAGTTTTCCTCTTTGCAACATATCCTGGGCGTCTTTCTGTGTTATTACTTAAAGATCTATCTCATTCACTTTGAAAAATCAGCTTTACTAGGACATAATTTACCCAAAATAAAATGCATCTTTCTTAAATTTAGAATTTGATAATTTGGGGTAAACATTCCTTGATTATTTTTAACAGTCACAAAGCATTCCCTTGTATGGATTTACTGTAATGTATTTGAGCAATTCCCCTTTAACGGATATTTAGGTTAGTTATTTTCTAGTTTCAGATAATGCCACATGGAACCATTGTGTATATATATCATTTTACATTGTGCATGCTTTTTAAAGAAATAATTCTTATAGGTAAAATTTTGGGGATGAGGGATAGAGGCATTTCAAATAATGATATTTAATGCTAAATTGTTCTTCAAAAACTTTGTACCAATTTACACTGCACTATTGGTTTACAAGAGTTTCAGTGTCCCAACTCAGCGATCAGTTATAGTCTTATAAAAGTAAAAGTTTATTTTCATTACTTATTCTCTTTTCCTAGTCTTTACAGTTATTCTATCTGAACAATTCACTCATTCTGTCCATCTGAGCAGGTCACTCTAGCAGCCCTACAGTCTATTATTTGACTTTTCATGGATGACTAGTGAACTATAATCTTTTTTTTTTAAGATTTTATTTTTCTTTTTTTTAGCCAAAGCTCCCGGTACATAGCTGTGTATTTTTAGTTGTGGGTCCTTCTAGTTGTGGCATGTGGGATGCCCCTCAGCTTAGCCTGTTGAGCGGTGCCATGTCCGCGCCCAGGATTCGAACCGGCGAAACCCTGGGTCACCGCAGCGGAGCACGCGAACTTAACCACTTGGCCACGGGGCCGGCCCCTATGAACTATAATCTATTAATGATGAGTTACTATCTGCAAAGTTTTCAAATTATTTGCAAAATAGAAATTTCGAAATCTGTCATAAATTTTTCAAAATTATCACATTAATTCTTTTTTGTTCTCCTCTACGAAATAATAATTATGAGAAAATTATTGTTCTTTTATTTCTTCTCTCTCTGACCAACTGATTTTTTGTGTGTATATTTTTTACACTTTCAGCATTAGTAATACTTGATTCCTCTCCTGTAACTATAATTCTCACACTTGATTAACCTTTCTTTTTATATTTGCATCAGTGGTTTTCAAACCCATTTGAACAATAGTCTCGTCTGAGGATGTGTTAAAAAATATGGATTCTAAGGCCCCATCTGAGAGACTCTGAATTTAATTTGTCTGGAGAGGGCTTAGTATAAGTTTTTTTCCCAAAGTTCCTAGGTGATTCTAATATGCAGCCATGGCTGAGAACTCCTGATTTAAACAGATTCAGTACTCACATTTCATACCACAGTTTCCTCATTTTGAGTCTTTTAAACTGATTCATAGCTCGGCTGCCTGGATTTTGTCATCAAGTAATTTTCTCAGGAAGGGTTAATGGGTCCCAAGTTCCCTGAGTCCCTGCGTGTTTGAGAACGCCTTTTTGCTTTGACATAAAGTTCTCAGTTCTCATTCCTCCCCTGAAAGTGCAAGTCTGGACACCACCCCTTTCTCTTCTAGCACTGACTTCTGTGGAAAGTCTAAGACCAACAATATTTTTTCTTTCTGAGATGATGGCTGCTTTTTTCTTTTGCCATGATCACACACACACACACACACACACACACACACATACATTTTTAACCTTGAAATTCAATAACCTCATTAGGATATGTCTTTTCATCTACATATTAAAGTTTTCTTCCCTGAGGAAAAATTTCTGTTACATCTTTGGGCTTTGCTTTTGTCTTCAGTTTGGTTTTCTAACTTAGAGACTCAATTATTGATCTAAGGGGTCTCCGTTGTCTGATTTCCATATTTAAATTTTTTCTTTTTGTCTTTATTTCTGCATCTTTCTACTCTGTGTTCTGTACTGTTTTCTCAAACTAATTCTCCATTCAATTAACAGTTTTCAGAAAAATACAACATATTCTTACTGCCTCAACTTTGGGTTTCATTTCTAAAATAACTTTATAATTTTCTTTGGTTTTCCTCCTGAGCTTCACTAGGTGATTTTTTAGTCTCTTCTGTTATCTTATCACATCTTCTTTAATCTTTTAAAATTCCTGTTTGTACTTTTTTTCCCTGGAGTCCATATTTTCTTTAATTGTGTTGAGAATATCCAGAAGATTTTTTTTTCTATTTCCTTTAGCAATTCTTCTTAAAAATACTGCTTACTATGTATCTTTTCTTCCCTTTTATAATTTTAAATGCATCAATGCAAAGATTCTCATATTGGGCTTGTTTTGATTATCCTTCAATAAATAAAGTTATATTCAGAGTCTTGTGTTTGTTTGAGAGTGTTGTGTGTGTGTGTGTGTGTATATATTTCAGTGACCAAGGGCTGTTGATAGAGTCAAAATGGGTATATTGAATCAGAACACATTCCCATGAAATCTCTGTGTCTTTTCTTTGGGGTACATTCCCTCAAATAAAGTAGATTATTCTGCCAGAAAGCCTGCCTGGCTCACAGTGAAGCTTTTCAGCTCACAGACAACTTGTTTGCTAATTTAGAGCTCATTTATTTGTCCAGTTGATACAAGCAGATGCAAAGATCAGTGTTCTTTCCCTGCTCTTCTCTTCCTCATCTCACCTCAAAGACCTTTTGTTCATTGAATTACAAATGCTGACTGAGGACTTCCTCTGTGCCAGACACCAAGCAGGCACAGGGATGTAGAGGAGACCAAAGCTGAGGAGGTTCCATCCTCATGAAGCTTATATTCTGGTATTGAGGCAGACAGACAAGAAACAGGAAATAAAGAGGTTTTAGATATTGCTAAATTCGAGAAGAAAATAAAACATGATAATGGGATAGAGGATGCCTTAGGGCTGGGGGCTATCCTACATAGATTGGGTTCTGGCTTTGGAGTCTGGGTCTCAGAACATTTAATTTTCTTAAATAATCTCTTTACCCAACAATTTATATGGGGAAGGCTTCCTTTGGTCATTCTTGATTTCCATGATCTGAAACAGGAGCTAGCAAGGAGCAAGTGATCCTTCAGATACATATGTTCCAAGACAAGACCATAGTAATAGGAATTCCAAATGGACTCCTGTGTTCCCAAGACCACAGACTGTTCCTGCAACTCACCTAGTTGACAAATTCTGACCAGACCACACTTCCGGTTACAATCACATTCTCACTAATTTCTGCTTCTGAAACCCTATAAGTACCTCCCCTAACGCCTCCCTGTGAGTGAGGATGAGACTGTCAGGGGGATGCTCTCTCTTGCTTTGCCAGGTAAGTGAGCCCAGCTCTGTAGCAGCCACAGTGTCCCTGGTCTTCTCATATGGGACTTTGGCAAATGCTTCTCAGCCTCTTCTCTCCTCATTTCTTCCAGGGCTTTGTGGATTCCTGGTCTTTGGGTTCCTGTTCCAGGTCAAATCCCAGAATTCTGAGGCTAGAGGGATACTAATTATTATCTTATCTAACTTTCAATATTTGTGGAAACAGTAAGAGAAATAAAGTTTAAATGTTTTGCCCAAATTATGAACTAGCTATTTTCATAGCCAGAGCTGGATTTCAGGTTTTCCGACCCATACTTATACCAGACAACCCGGGCAATGTGTTTTTCACATACACTGGTTTTCTCTAGGAGACCTCAGAGTCTCTGCTGTGCCTGGTACTTTTATTTCTTACCCTAAAAATAGTATTTTCTTAAACATAATTCATTATGTGTCATGTTGTCCCAAGTGACTCTGCTATCTTGTCCATAATTTGCTAAACTAGAGGCGGGCAGTTCGTTTAAGAACAACCCATGTATTGACTTATCAGTGGCCTAGGAGGTGGCTTAGAGGCTAGGCTGCCCTACTAGTTAGGCTAGTTAGAACCACTGGTTGGCAGTGAGCCATATAGCATTGGCAGTTGGAGCAGAAGCTGAAACAGAGCAAGTAGTCCTTACCATAAGCCCAAGGCAGTCAATGCTGGGGTCAGCAGAAGCCCAGAGTAAAGAGAAGTCATGAGATAGAGGGAACGAGAGTGGAGCACACTTTTAGAAGCTGCATGGGCAATGGGGCAAAAGGACACAGAAATAAAATTGTTGATGGGCCTATGAGTAGAGAGTAATGGAAGCTTCTAGGCTCATCAGGGATCAATATAATCTGTTTTTGAGAAATAAATTATATTCTGTGAGATCTCTCCATTCTCCTTCGATTAATCTGGGTATGTCATCATTCTTATTTTTCTTACTACCTGAATATTCATACAATAAACCATCACTCACTGGGGACACCTGGGGTCTCTGTTTTCTTGTGATGTAAAATGTTCTGAGGAACCAGATTCAGGATTTTTCTATCATACTTCTGCTTCTCTGAAAAGAAAACTAAACTTTCACTCTACTAAACAAAGATCCAGGTGTAAACAGAAGCAATGTTGCTTTTAAAATGACATTTTTTTGATGGTTCCATGGGTAACCATGAGCTATAGACCTATGAGGTATATACACTTTTCTGAATGTATGTCATACTGCAACAAAATTTTTAAAATGTAAGACAATAGTGGCTGGCCTGGTGGCATAGTGGTTAAGTTTGCACGCTGTGCTTCGGAGATCCCGGGTTTGCAGGTTTGGATCCTGGGTGCAGACCTGCACACAACTCATCAAGCCATGCTGTGGCGGTGTCCCACATACAAAATGGAGGAAGATTGGCACAGATGTTAGCTCGGCAACAACCTTCCTCAAGCAAAAAGAGGAAGATTGGCAACAGGTGTTAGCTCAGGGCCAATCTTCCTCACAAAGAAAAAAAAGCAAACAAAACACAACGCAATAAAATAGCACTTAGTTTAATGGATTAAGACAAGGGAGTATAGAAACCCCAGAAAACCAAGGAGTTGGTTCCCAGGAAGCCATTTCCTCCCTTCCCTTCACCTTCAGCCCTCTCCAAATCTACTGTGAGAGCTGGAACTGCTTGGGAACTCTTTGGAGAAAATAAGATCTTGCCCATGCTTTGTCCACATGACTGTGCTTGCAGCTAAGCTAATATTTAAGCATTAGTAGGGAAGTGCAAGATGCTTCTGTGCATCAAGTTAAGAGAAATTGGCTTAGGAACTGAACTTACAGGTCATGAGAAGATAATTTGAGAAAATACATTCATTTGGTAAAAGCTGGGGAATGTGCTGAGCTATCTTAGCGGTCTGGCTGAGCCAGGGCTGGATGAGGACTGAGGCCCACAGATAGTTGGCTCTATGAGATAGGAGCAAAGTGGGACATCAGGTTCGTTGGGGTAGGAAACTGGAAGGTACATGCAGACTTCTGAAGGGGTTGGTGCCAGAGGGGTCAGGGATGAGTGACTGGCAGGAATGCAGGGCTTACCTGTGACAGAGAGGCTAACGGCCTCACTATGTTTGGAACCAAAGCCATTGTCAGCTGTACAGTGGTAGTTTCCAGAATGCTCTGAAGTCAGAGAGAAGCTGAAGGATGCTCCTACTCCAGATGGAATTGAACTGCTCCCCAGGGTGACGTCCCCATGATAAAACTGGTACTGGATGGGGGGAGAGCCTTTCTGGGCTACACAGTGAAGTGTCATCAAATCTCCCTCAACAGCCCAGGGCCCAGGAGGGCTGAGGGTGAGGACAGGAGGAGACACTGGAGCTAAGAGAGAGAAAAAATTAGTCAGGAGTTGCTTCTGCCCCTTACTGTAGATTTCAACCAGTGGTCAGTGAAATGCCAGTCTCATCTCCACTGGCCTCAGGGTGGCCCAGCGGCCTCCCAGGCTGTTCGCAGCAGCTCTTTCCTGTCCTCACGCTGGTCTTTTCCTTTCCCCTCAGACCTCTGACCCCTTCCCCTCTCCTGTCTCCCCTTGGTAGGTGACCTCACTCCTGTTTACCAGAGGAAGAAGTCCTTTATCTTGCTGCCATCAGACCCACACCCTTACCTACATCAGCCCCTCGCTCCTCCTCTCTGCCCAGTGACCATGGAAGGGCTGTCCCTCCCCGCTACCAAAGGAGGATCCTTCTTTTGCTTGACCTTGAGCCCCCCTGCCTGTGTCCTGGATGTAAATTCTCTGATTCTGTTGGCTTCTTGCAAACACCATTTAGATGCACTTAACCCTGTCTACACTAGAAAACAAAACAAACAAAATAACCCTAACTGCGTTTAATTTTCCCCATGGCCCCTTACTCCTTTTTTTCTGTGGACAGACTTTTGGAAAAAGTGGCCTACATTTATTGTCTCTATTTCTGTACCTCACATTTATTTTTTGTCCATTACAACCTGGTTTTTATTCTCACCACTCTACTAAAGTTGATAGCTCATGTTTACGATTATAATGATGATGCTCATAATGATGAGATACTTATAATGACAATGTAGTGCTTTAATATATGTGTCTGGTGTACGTGTATTTGTCATATATAATTTGTAAATACATGTATGCAGACGCTAATTTAACTATCAAAACAATCCCATGAGGCAGGTACTTTTATTGTTTCTATTTTACAGATGAGGAAACTGAGGCCCAAAGGGGTTAAATTGCACAGTTAGTAAGTGGTGAGCCAGCAGTCAAACCCCAGTATTCCAGTTCTCAGTTTGTGTTCTTCTGCTTTTGTATTCAGTGTTTTGTGACTAAATTCAGGGGAGGTGACTTTAGCTTTCCTCATCTATCAGCTCTGCCTTATCTGAATTGGCCCACTATCTTTTGCTTAAAACACTCTGTCCTTTGGTTTCTGTGGTACACACTTTCATAGTGTCTCTTCTCTCAGACACAGTTCCTCTCAGAGTCCCTCCTTCTCAGCAGAGGCTGGCCTGGGGTTCTGTCTGACTGTGCACTCTCCTCTTAGTCCATCTCCTCTATTCCTGGCTGTTCCCCAGACTGGCCCTTCTACCATCCATTCTTCACCCTGCGACTGGAGTGATGTTCCCCAATATTAAAACCATTCTCGGGCCTCAGATTACCCTTAAGAATAAAACCCAAGCCCTTACCACTGCTTCTAAGTCCTAATAACCCGGGCCTGCCTCCCCCCCCCACCTCATCCCACCCCTTCCAACCATTTCGCTCTATGTTGCGGTCAATGAGGAAAGATCTCCTTCCAGTTCCTTGAACATTTCTTCCTTCCCTCACCACAATTCTTTAGCACGTGAGTCAACCTGGAACACAGCCTTTTTCTTCCTCCCTCAACCTCTCCTTTCTTCTCCTGGAATGTTCCTATTCACCTTCAGGTCTCAGCTCACACATGAACTCTTCTAAGAAATTTCCCCTCATCCCACTCAGGTTGAGGTGCTCTCCCATTTGCCCCACAGCCTCCTGGCACTTCTCTCCCTTGGATTGGTGTTTGCCCTCTTGCTCACGCACATCTGCTCTTAGACTCTAAGCACTGTGTGCACAGGGCCATGTTGGTCTAGTCTGATGCATCCTTGGACAGCAGTACAGTCTGGCATACAGTATATATATATATATAACAATCATTTATTTGGTGAATAAATGCGTCATTGTATAGAACTTTATACATCTGTGAGAGCATTTGATAATAACGTCACTGCCTCCAATTTCCTCGGGCCTCTGGATTCAGGAGCACAGCCAGTCTGTCTCTTTCCTTTGATATCTCCCTCAAGGGTTTTCTGATCCTCGCCTTTGGAGTCTTTTGCACATCTATCATGGGATAGCCTAGATTTTAGCTTGTCTCCAACCTCGTTTTGTTTTTTTGCAGAAGAGGAAACTGAAGCTGCTTCCAGGACCAACTAGGACTGGACTCTCTGCCACTAACACAAGCCTAAATCACACTGTCCCCTAAAATTGGGCTTGGAATTTGGCTGTACATAGATGCACGAAACTGAGATTCAAGGCTCAACAGAAACCGTTCAACTTCATAACTGGTTGACAATTCCCTTCACGGCCTTGGAGGCATCAAGCATAGCGAGCAGAGGTGAAGGCATCTCTGCTCACGAGGGGCTCTCTCTTGCCCTGCTTCCAACTGCTCCCCTGTCTGTTTCTCCCTCCCGCTATTGCCTAAGCAACTCCGAAAGTGCTTAAGCGAGACGGACACCTTTTGAGTAACTATGACCCTGCTACCTGTCTTTGTATCTTACATGGTTTTGTACACTGTTCGTGATCGATATCCGATATTAATTGGACAGGAGACACCTCTGTGCCCCTGGGAACTGATTTTGCAGCTACTGAGAACAACTTACTAAATAAAAAATCAGGCATCTGAGGATTCACAGACAAGTGGAGAGAAAGAGAAAAGCATTTGGCTCCTCAAAGGTTGGGGGCCAGGAGAGAGAAAGTGCTGTGCAGACAGCCAGGGGTGTAATGGTACCTGGCTGCTCAAGGAACGAGGCTCGAAAGCAGCCAACAGCTGTTTCAGTGAGCCAGGGAGTCTTGAAGGACATGGGGTGAGCCTGAGAAAGAAGCTGAGGAAACTGGAAAGTGGGAACGCATTTGTGGATGGATTGGTGAGAGAGGCCAGGGCTGGGTGATTGGCAGAATCTAGGGCTTACTGATGACGGAGAGGTGCACTGCTCTGCTGCGCTGGGCCCCCAGGCCATTGTCAGCGGTGCAGTAGTAGTTCCCAGAATGCTCCGCAGTCAGAGAGAAGCTGAAGGAGCTTGTTCTCAATGAAGTGACTTCTATCTCCTTGAGAAATACATCTTCACGAAAAAACTGGTACTGGATTGGAAGAGAACCTCTCTGGGCTTTACACTGAAGTGTCACCTCATCTCCTTCAGGAGCCCGGTCCCCAGGAGGGCTGAGGGTGAGGCCAGGAGGAGACACGGGAACTGAGGGACAGAAAAAATTAGTCAACAGTTGCTTTTGCCCCTTACTGTCGATTTCAACCAGTGGCCAGTGAAATGCCCCATCTCATCTGCTCTGGCCTCAGGGCGGCCCAGCGGCTCCCCAGGCTTTTCTCAGCAGGTCTCTCCTGTCCTCACCCTGGTCTTTTCCTTTCCCGTCAGACCTCTAGCCCCCTTTGTCCTCTCCTGTCTCCCCTTGTAGGTGACCTCACTCCTATTTTCCAGAGGGAACGCCATGCTCAGGGAAAAAGTCCTTTATCTTACTGTCATCAGACCCACACCCTTACCTTGTTCCTTCCCTCTGCTGTATGACCGTGGAAGAGCTGCTCCCTACCTGCCAAGCCATTCTGAGTTTCTTGTCAGTCACTGTTCTCCCTTCACTGGAGTTGGCCTCAGGGCTCTGCATGTTCATTGGCAAATACAAACTCATACACTCTTCCAGGACCCTCTCCTCTGTTCCTACAGTTTCCCTGCATCCAATATGACCCTCTGCATTTACAGGTGAGTATATGGAGTCAGGAAGAGGTTAGGACACCTGCCTGTCGCCACTCAGTAGGCTGTTTCCAGAGCCACACAGGACCTGGCTCTGTCTCCTCACCCTTGGTCCAGTGCTGAATAACATTATCTCCTTAAAAGTGGACCTGGAGTTTGCCATGAGTGGAGGGGAAGGCACAGGGCTCCACAGAAGCTGTTTTCCTCTCACCACCACAACTACCTTTGCAGCTTTGAGGGCAGGATGGTATCAGATACTGGTACAGAAGGTGATGAAGTCTGGGGTTCTCCCTACCCCCACAATTACATCTTTGGAGTAACTATGATGTTGCTACTATGATGTTGCTACCTGTCTCTGTAACATACATGGTTGTGTACATTGGTTATTGTCAAAAATTAACTTCATTGAGACAACATGTGGATGGATGCTTCCATATCTCTGGTAGATAGAAATGACTTGTGAGCTACTCAGATTGATTCAGTACTTAAGTATCTGGGGATTCAGAGGACAAAAGAGAGAAACAGAGTTCTACAGATGTTGGAGACCAGAGAGAGAGAGAGGGATGCTGCAGACACTTTAAGGAGTGTGACAGTATCTGGGCTGGTTGAATAATGAGGCCCACAAGAGATAGACACTTGTTCCAAGATCTGGGAGCCAATGAGGACATTAGGATGGTGTTATGAACTGAACTGTTTCCCTCCAAAATGCATATGTTGAAGCTCTAACCCCCAGTAACCCCCCACTGTGACTGTATTTACAGATAGGGCCTTTAAGGAGATAATTAAGGTTAAATGTGATTATAAGGGTGGGGCCCTAATCCTATAAGACTGATGTCCTTATAAGAAGAGGAAGAGACACCAGAGACCTCTCTCTCTCTCTCAGCCCACGTAGAAGAAAAACCATGTGAGGACACACTGAGAAGGTAGCCAACTGCAAGCCAGAAAGAAAGCCCTCCTTAGAACCAATCCTACAGGTACTTTGATCTTGGAATTCTAGTCTCCAGAACTGTGAGAAAATACATTTCTGTTGCTTGAGCCACCCAGTATTTTGTTATGGCAGCCTGAACAGACTAATGCAGATGACTTGGGTAAGAGACAAAAAGCAGGTAAGAGTAGAGATTTGTTAGGTAGCAGTAAGAGAAGGAGTGAAACCAGGAGTGGCTGGACTTTTGTTGATTGACAGAAGACTCAAGGACTGAGTATTATCTAAGTCAGGTGTTGCTGAACTCTGTAATTTCTCTTTGGCCAGAGATTGCTGATCTGACAGGGTTTGGACTCTACAAAGTTCTCATAACTATGTTAGTGGAGTTTGGGTCAGACTGTATGTTTTCATGTTGATTCACTCTAAGGAATTCCTGAGTTCCTGAGAATGTGGTCACAGGGAAGAGCTCAGAACCGCCAAGTGGAGGTAACAAGCTTGCTCTGATCCCATGTGAGCCAAAGCCTGCGAATTTCAGAGTTGAAGTCTTTAGACTGTGGAGAACATGCAACCTGACCCTGGCTGTGACTTCTTGCGGTCAGTTAATTCATTTTTGATGGAAAGTGGCCTCTCCTTGCTGGCTGGATCCCCAGGCCACCATCTTGGCACAGGAGTCATTCCCAGAATGTTCTGTGGGCACGGAGACTGAGGGACGCTTCTCCTCTATAGAGGTCTGGGGTCCTCAGGATTTCAGCCTCATGATAAAAGTGATACAGGATGGGAAAGAGGCTCCCTTGATTTCCCAGTGAAACTCGACCACTTTCTTCACAACATCCTGTACCCTAGGGGCCCTGATGGTGAAGAAAGGATGTGTTACTGGGGCTGAAAGAGACAACAAGCTGGTCAGGGAAGGTCCCTGCACATCCTTAAATCAATGAGGCTTAACGAGAGACACAGAGCCAGATGAGACCTGGTTTTAATATTGTATTTGCTATGCCTTTATTCCCAGGAGACATTTCACTTACACTAAGACGGAATTTGTAAAAATAAAGGGCTATTCAGAGTATTAAATTATTGTTAACTATCGATATCCATTCCCTCCCAACTACCTTGTAGTCTTCACTAAGTTTAATAACCCATTCCTCAGATAATATCTAGCAGACGCACCTTTCACATTGATGGTCACTGACTTGCTGCGAAAGGAGAGGCGACCGTTGTTGGCTTCACAGTAATACTCTCCAGCATCTCTCTTTTTCACCATGGTGATCTTGAATTCTTCATTCAGGGAATTCTGAATCTTTGCTTTCATAGGCTTCTTGTTTGATTTTTTGTACCAGAAGATTCTGACAGGCCCTGGGACTCCATCTACTGAGCAGATGAGGACCAGTTCCTGCCCTGCAATCACCAACTCTAAGGCTGGGCGGGTGTGCATTTGGACGTTGGCAACAACTCCTAAATGAATAAAAATGACGTATAAGACTCTTGGCAGTGGGGTACTCATGGCTAGAAAAGAGTCATAGGATTGGAAGGGCTAAATCTGCTGATCCAATGTGAAGTATTGGCCTGGGGTGGAATTGGGCTTTTTCCTTGAGAAGAAGGAGGAAGTCGTGGAGAGACTGTGTTCCCTCCATGCTTTGGGAGACTCTCTGCTCCCTAATGATCTTGTGGAGGATCCTGCTCAATGAAAGAGGCAACCCTGTCCACTTTCCCTCATGTCCCCCCTATCTCCTGGCAGAGCACAGGCCAGTCATTCCAGAGATTACATCCAGTACCCAGGCATTGCTTGGGGGAAGTGGTGGGGGTGGTGAAGGGGCCAAGGAGATTTGGCATCAGAGATGCTTGTCCTGGAGCTGTGGTCACTGCAGTGGCTAGATGGACATCAATCATTGGCATATACAATAAGTTTACCCTCAAGCAAGCACTTCTTAACCCCTCTAGCTTGTCAGTTAAATGGTCAGAGGAAGCGGACCCAGGACAGTCCTCCTAGGTGGGAAAATCTGATGCTCCACTCTCTAGGTGGATACATACTGATATTGGACTAGAGCAGTGTCTTTTTGAGTCTTCCTGGGGTCACGAAGATCAAGATACCTGAACACAGTGGGAACAGAGCTAGAGGCTGGGGTTCCATTAATTCTGTTGGGGGAGATTTTATGCTAGAAATTACTGTGTTGCAAGTCTTGGGTAACAACCTCTCCACCTTCTCTGAATTGTCATTCTTTAAACTGGTGTTGGAAGAAATACCTGCTACCTGTGATTGGAGAAGAGAAGATTATAAAATCTAGGAAGTTTAGAAGAAACAGTTATAGAACCTTTTTTTTTCTTTTTTTTTTTGCCTAGGATTAGGAATGAATTTATAGAGTGTCCTACCACTTTCACTCCCTTCTCACTCAGCAAAGCATCCACCCCAGACTATGTATCCCTTCCTAATGCTCAAAAAGATTTCCTATTAGACAGATCAAATTTAATCTGGGGAGGCATTTGACCATTGGGTAGCAGTTGTGCTTGAAACCTATACAACTTCAGAGACTTAGAGAAAAGCAAAAGTTGGTACAAAACCATCCCTGGTGGCATTAAGTTGGAACCACTTATTCCCAAAACTTCTGTCCTTTGATTGTCTTATTCTTGTGTGTTCTGCTCCAGGCATCTAACATTCTAGGAATCTGTCCATCTGGCTGAGCAGAGTCCATCCAGCCTAGCCAGAGGGCTCTGCCATAGCCCACAGTTTATGCCTATGGGCCTAATAGGAAAAAAAATGGTGTCAAGGAAGACAGCTTTCAGAGGGCAAAGAAAGAGTTCTATCTCATGGGGCTGAAGGAAAAACATAACCTTTTCTTAGACTTTCTTGGTTCTAAGTTCTTCTAAGATGTCCACAAGAGTTGATGTACAGCTCCCTTTCCCATAGGTATGAGAAGCACTTTCCACATGGACCAGTGGCCCAAGAAGATGTGCAACCCTGTCTGGCTCCGGGAAGCTCCAGTCCTGGGAAATCTCAGAACCCACTGACACTCACTCTGCACATATATCTGGGATGTCCGGCTCTGTTTCCAGACACGGGAAGTCACTGTCTGTGCCTTGCACCAGTAAGACCCTGAGTCTTCTCTCCATATGGTGTTGATCTGGAATTCTGGGGAGCTGCTCCACCCTGGCCCCAGGATCTGTCCATCTTTGAAGAAGCAGAACTGGAGCCGGACATCTGACCTCTGTGGTGGGAGCTGGATCTCACAGGTGAGGGTCACTGGTTCCCCCTCAGTGGGCCAGGAGGAGTTGGCTCTCAGCACAGGATGGTGAAGCAGCTCTACAGAAAGATTACAACAGTCCCCAAAGCAATGAGGCTTGGAAGTGCTCTGGAGAAAAACATAATTCATCCTCAGCACCGGCATGCAGAGCATACAAAAGCAGGCACAGAAAGAGATGCCACTTTTGATTCCCAGCATCCTTCAGCCCAAAGCACAGTTGCGCTTTCTCTGTTCCTTACAGGAATGCACCCGGAGGTTCAATGGTATTCCAGTCCACCCTTTTCTTCCTATTCTCCCTTCTACAACCTCAGAGACCCTGCTTCTGACTAACCCATTTCACAAGTAATGAAGTCTTTACCTTGGACTTGGATATTGACTCTGTTTGAAATAATAGAGCAACAACCTTTCTTAAATCCAGTACAGTGATATGCTCCATTGTCCTTCAGATCTGCTTGATGAATCTGAAAGTCGGAGGTGTTACTAAGGAATGCCAGCAATCCATCATTCTTGTATAGGGTCACATTAGTCAGTGCTACTCCTGCCTTTGCTCAGCATCTCAGAAACACGGAGTCTCCTTCAAACACATAAAGTGGAGCCTGCAGGATGAGGGTAGCTGTAGGAAACACAAGACCAGTTATTTCTTTCACCTCATTGTTTCTCCCTTCTTTTTGTTATTGTTCCAAGTAGATTTTATAGGAAAGAGGGCTGGGAAAAGCATTCTTAAAATAATTGTCATTTCTGCTTTCTGATTTTACATTGAACACATATGTCTTGAAAAAATTAGGAAAGCAGAAATGTAAATAAAAATCTCCTATCATCTCACCACCCAGATTTTGGCATATGCTTTTCCAGTTCTCTTTTCCATGTGCATGTATGTGAGAGTGTGTGTATTTTTTTTTATGAAATTGGAATAATATTCATCTCTTTGATAACTTGCTTTTCC